CAGTTAATCTTTTGATGCCTTTTTTAAACATACCCTGCTCCTGTCACCCCACACCCCACCAGCTGGGCTGCAGTGCTTGGGCATCAGCCACCCCTCTGGCAGGTAGCTGGAGTCCGTGAAGCGCACGAAGCTGTAAATACACTTTCAAAATTGAAACAGCAACGCTGTGTATGCCAGATACTGGTTTTTGAATGTTTTCATCACATCTGTTTCAATTTTCTACCTTTTCTCCCCCTCTGAACTGCTGCGGATTGTTTACCAGTCAGAGGAGTAAATAATTACCCACTAATCCTTCCACTGATACTTGGTTCCAATTCTGTCACAGCACAAAGAACTAGAGAGCCCTTGAGTTTAAAATGCCCCCAAAACCATGAAATCTCTGAGAAGCCAGTGGCCCAGCAGCTGAGCGAGGGCAGAAAAAACCTGCACACCGGTTCATAGAATTAAAAATCTGTATGAAAACCAAGTAGCAGAACTTCTAACAATCAAGCTGCTGACTAAAATAGAGCACCAAGGAATATATAAACAAATCTTTATTTAAAGCTTTTAAATGGAACACAGTATTTTGTTTCGTCAGAAAAGGAAAAAACTGAAAACAAAAAGACAAATGCAATGCACGTGAAAATTCTTCTCATAAATGGATCTACACTGTGCAATTTGAGTGGGTATTTATATTTCAATGGTTACCTGCTGTGGTAGTACGGGCACTGGTTATCTAAATGGTACGCACCACGACAAGCTCTTGAAAGCGTGCTCATCTAGAAGTAGTGGCAAAATTGCATAGTTACTTAAATTTGCTATTAACCGGTCTGCTTAATAGTCATTCCAACTATGTGTACTCAGACAACAAAGTGAGAGTGGCTTTTGGGAAAGCTATTTGGTAATTTAGGTATTATGTAATTGGCATGTCAATGGCTGTTAGTCTAGCTCAAAAACAAGAGCCGTCCTTTAAAAGTCGGGCTGTTAAGTTAAAGCAACATCTACTCAAAAATGGAAACACCTTTTTACATATCACCAACAGATTTTACATGTAGAATATATATACACAAACACACACACAATACAGAGAGGCATTCACTTGAAGCTTTCAGTGCATCTGTGCTAAACAAAAAAACCCACACACTAGTTAAAAGCAACAATTTTTCACGTTCACTAAGTGCAATCCATTGTTAAAAGATCTCTTAAGCCCAGGTTTCGGGGGTTTTTTGTTTCTTTTTTTTGTTTTTTTTGTTTTTTTTTTTGCTTTACATTGCTTGCACAAACCTTTAAATGACAAGTAACTCAAGGTAAGACTTTGACCCCGGTATGGATGAGCTGGAAAAGTTCAGTCAGTGGGGCAGGCAGTCCCCTGGGACAGAGACAGGCCTGCCAGCCGGGAGAGCTGGTGCTGAGCTAGGGGAGCTGGAAGTACGGTAACGCGGCAGGGACGGCACGCGCTGAGAGTACAAACACGCTACGTAACGCCCTTTATTAAGCACACAGGTGACCCTACAGACACTCAGGGCCTGCATCCACCTGCCGGCACCGCGGGTAACCAAGAGCGGCCAACAGAGCTCAGAACCCGTAGGAACGCTGCCCTTCCGTGCGTCCCGCGCACCTGCGCCTCTTCAAAGCTCTTTCCCACAGGGCAGCACCGCAACAGCCAGTGTCCCCTTTCAGGCTGAGTGTCACACAACAAAATGTTGGATCTTCCTGGGATAACTGCTGCCCCCCTACATGTGGCAAGTTAACAGGCTGAATAAATTAACTTGCTTTAAAATTATAAGCTTCTAAATTACATACTTATAAAATTACACCCTAACGCAACAGCAGCTTTGGATTAAGATGGGGAAGAAAAGTTCTTCACCCCTATCTTAATCCTATTTATTCACTGCAGTTTATTCAGTTTCACTATGCTTCTAATAATTTTCTGATCTCTCTTTTCCAAGAACACAATTTTCCAAAACAATTATTCTTGTTGACACTTTCTGTTAAGGAGGAATTTGTTTGTTGTGTTAGTCTTTAAGGGGAAAAATCTGCCTGACGCCTGGCACGTGGTTTCACACCCACACGGACAGACATTTCGGAGACAGTGACATTTAAACACATTTACAGCAAACAACTCAGTGATAAAGTTGTACCACACTTAGAATAAACGCAACGCTTTTCATCGATTCAAATTTTGTAGCACTTTTACCCTTTCTAAATCAACCCACGAACTGAAGCGGCAGCACGGCACGGCACGCATTTCTTCCAGTGTGCTCGTTAGTAACACTGACTACCAACGACGACCAAGGGGTGCTGCTCAACAAAGAGTATAATCTTTACGGCGTGAGTGCTCAACGTCATCAGCAATCCAGCTACTTCTGTTTCAGCTGTGCAAGATTTTTGAAGGACAAAAGCATCAGACTTCGTAACTAACAAATCTGAAGTGAAGACGCAGTATTAAAGCTTCTCAAATATTTTAATATTCAACGCTTCTAGCCTTTCTGAGAAACGTCAGACACTGAAACAAAGCAATTTTGCCATCTGCCTCAAGTACTTCACTTTGCACTTCGCCTCTGCGGGCTGAATTTCGATACTAATAAATAGCTACATAGTGAAAAAGGTGTGTTTAATCAAAAAGTAGGTTTACTGTACTTCATAAAAAATAATGTATGAGTTCTTGTAGCATCTGTGTGTAACTATTCTCTACCTGAAGTGCACAAAGAAACAGACTAAGACAGTTATTGAAGATTGTGTCACATTTTGCCAGCATCTGGCCATCCCTGCAACTTTCTTGGTCACATGTTCAAACGCAAAAGCAATGACCAGCCATTGCAAATTAACCTGGCAACCTCTCGTCTCCTCACCGCATCTTCCAGAGCATCCCTCCCCTGTCACCAGCACAACGAAGCAGTCAGTCAGCTTCTTGGCTGTTCCTGGAGATTCAAAAGTATTCCAAAGGAAAACAAACACCATCAAAATATTTTCACTCTGCTCATTTTGCACCAGCCTCCATCTCCATTTAATAAATGTTGTTTGGGTGCAACACAGAAGTTGTTTTCAAGGGAAGGAAAAAAGAAAACAAAGCCATCAATCTTCCTATGCCCCTCTTAGTCTGAATATAATCTGAATACTTCTCTTCATTTCAATGCTACAATTTCTTAAATATTTCTCTTGTGACTATGATTTACTAAGTATGCCTATTTATGCATCTACACACGTACCAATAGACTGATTCAATAAATTAAAGCTCAAAACACTCACTGCAAGCACAAGAATATTTACAAACGGCAATAAATTAAAGATTTAAATGTGTACGGTATTAAATAAGGATCTCGAAGAGCTCATCAAATAAGAACAATCGTCAACTATTGTGCTAAAATTTTGCGCTAAAATTTTGCCAACTTTTGTGCTGCTACCCAAGGCCAGAAATGCATTTACAGGCCAGAAAGAACAGGGCGATAACCACCAGGCCGGTCACCACTCGCCCCGCACGGACCAAGCACGGGTGAGGGTGATGGTGCAGAGGCGGACCCAAGGATTTCAGCTTTTCTGACTGAACACCCGCCCCGGCTGGGGCTCACAGCATCGCGTACACACCCCCAGACCCCACACCCACACTTGCTTGCCAGTGTCTCCTATCGGAACCGGAATGGAGACCAATACTCATCATTCCCTTATTTGTAAGGCACGCTTCTGGGGGAAAAAAAAAAAAAAAAAAACCCCCGAACAAAAAACCCTAAAGTTTTACTAGAAGTTCAGAATAATATTAAGCCACAAAGTAAATTCAAAATAAAGGTTCAGTCTGACACAGTAGTCTGGCCATAGATGCAGAAATCAAAATTACCCTTTCCTCAGCATTGTATGGAGCGGAAGGTATTTCCAAGGCCCTTCTCCACAACAGAAGGCATGCTAGGGAAGTACAATTTTAGATCATAAAAGGGAAAATTCATTACACTGTATGCTCCCACTTTATCTTTTGCCAAAGCATAAAGCCTTACTAGGAGATGAAATTGTTTTTGAAGAAAAATCCCAAAGCTGAGTGGTGGTGAACAGCAAGGATCATCGCTCTGACCATACATGCCTTTTTGAATTTTTTTTTTTTTTTTTTTTTTTAAAATATGGAGATCCCTTAAGGGGAATGGAAGAGAATGCCAAGAGCGGGACAGTACAGTCTGTCCCAGCAGGAACTAGGCATGAACAGCTGCTCTCCCAGGACTGCAGTTACACAGCCATCACAGTGATGACAGAGAAGGTCTCACACTGGAAAAGCGTAAGACATAGGAGACGATGTAATGGACAAAGCTTTTTAAGTACAGTCCCCGTGTTATCAATGCTTCTCCTGAATATACACGTCTACAATTCTCTCTCGGTTAGAGATTCCAGACTGCAATATGACCGCTATTTGGTTCTGACCTGCAGGTGCAATGCAAGAGCTTCTGCAAGCTTCACTGCACTTAAATTTATCAAATCAAAAATTAAGAAAAATAAATAGGACAGAGTGTAAATTAAGGCAGACGCATCCCTCCTTGAAAAAATTTAAGTCTCTGCCCAGAGGACTTCTCTATCTTGGGCTGAAGGATTATCAAACCCCAGGAAAGGTTACTGCTGACCACAGAACTTCCAGCTACCTGCTGTCACTTTACAAATTGCAAGGGGCAAGAAACTTGCATGTAAGAATTTGATGAAACATATACAACCAGGATTTACATTTTGTTGAGTTAAAATGAATTATGGTAAAACTTCAGAGATACCAGTATCTTTTAGTAGTATTTTTCAAAAATTATCTCAAATTTATGAACAAATCATGACTGATCCCGGTAATCCAGCCTTTACCTATGAAGGTATTTCTTTGCAGACAAGTAACAAGCAAGGGTTTACCAAGTCTCTGCTGTACAGCTTTTAAGTCCTTTTCCTAGGTATTCCAGATATTCCTTGTATTTCAGGCATTTGCAGCCCTGGTTTACAGACACTTTACAATAGAGTAACTCTTCCAGCTCCAACACGAAGGCAATTATAGCAGTGAAAATCTCTGTGCTAGCACACAGGCATCAACAGTTTTGTGCCGGTGTTGTTAAGCAAGCTGTTTAACCTTGGCCTGCAGGATTGTAACACAGCACAACTCCTGCATTCAGGCTACATCTCCATTCCTGGCACTCCCCTGACACCAAAACTACTTATTTGCCATTCTCTGTGGGGCAGATGATCAGCAACCACCTGTAAAATTAAAAGGTGCTAAAAACATACAATTCCTTTTGTAATCTAGTTTTCCAAAGGAATAAATACAGCTCACTGGTACAGAAACTCTCCATCTGAAAAACAGCTCAGATGAGTAATCTCAGTACATCCTGAACCGACTCGGTTCTGTGGGGCATTCAGAGTAGGTAAGGTGAGTGTATATTTGCAAGCTAAGGTACACACCTTACTACTAACGTAGATACAGAACCAAGTCGGTTAGCAGGCTCCTTAATAAAGGAACTGATAAGTTTTGCAAAGTTTTTGACAAAGTACAGTGAGGAGACGAGAGCTAAAAGCAGTAAGGGACACGTCTAATGAGACCAATTTTGAGTTGGCCAAACACCTTGCAACAGATTTTCAGAATTCTTGTGGTAAGATAAAAACAGTATAAATTGGAAAGACTACTGAATTTAAAGAATGTCTATGTGAACTACAACTACACAGCTTATTTGTTTCTGCACGTGGAAATGGACTTTCTTCCTTGCTACCTCTACTCAGGTGAATGTAGTGATCAAGCTGCATGCTATGCTGCTGAAGACAGAAACAAGCGCAGGGAAAAAAAGTAAGGAAGGTTGTTCCCTGATATTGCCTGACTTGACATTACATAGCACTCCTTCATTTATCTTGCCTGTTCCAAGTGTTTTCTCACACTGCTAAAACAATAATCAGGATAGTACAGACCTCCAAACCCACAAAGCATTTTAAAAGCCAATTTCCCAGGACGTTTAAGAGAGAACTGTAAGACTGAACTTGGATCAATGACTGCTCAGGGCAGACACAGCCCTGAAGCTTACAATGCACACTATAAAAATAAGACACACACAGTACCCTTTTCTATTTCCAAAACCTTACATGATTTTCTGTCGCATCTTCCCCCACTTCCTGGTAAGATCTCCCCCATATTTCAGTTACTTGGAGGAATTTAGGTTTTGGGAATGAGGGAGACAAGATTCTATTTATTTATTTTATTGACTCATTCAGTGAGCCTGGTATCTTCACCAGGCAACAGATACTGGAAGCTGGAGAATCTTCTCAGGAGGAAGAACTCACATTAACATCATGTCCCTCCTCTCATAATCACTGAATTTGGGTTTTTAATGTCTGTATTCAATCCAGTAAAACAAATGTCACTAATGTGTATGGAACATAAAGCACCTGGAAAGTCAGGTAGTTTACAGGAATTGGTTATTTCTACTGAGAGGAATTTAAAATCTTCAAGCTGACTTAGGAATATTAAGCTAACCTCTTAACAACTCCATTGCATTTATTTCAGCAATTACTTTTCATAGCAAATGTAGAGACCCAAAATATTTTCTCCAGTGAGCATACAAAAATAGTTTTACTCTCAACCAGTTTATGAAGTTCCTTTTGCTGCTTTCCAGCCAACACCTACCTAACTAAAATAAGTTAGTACAATCATCTGTATGGGCTGTCTGCACACCGGACAGGGTTTGTTCCTCTTCTTAAGTTTTCTTGCGCACGTAAAACATGACATGAGGTGTCCCGTTTTGCCATGTACAATGCAGCCATTTTTAGGTCTGCTCTGACATATGACACAGGGCTCTATGCTGGTTACAGGCAGACTGGATTCCATACTTTCCTCTTTGTCTTGCACTTCTCTCTTCTCAGGTTCCTTATAGTCCTCCTGACTGCTACAAAACATGCTGCTTGATGTCGATGGCTGCGAAAAATCTTCACTTTCCTGGGACTCGGAAATTTGTACTGCTTTATCCTCATTCTCCTCTACAGCTGGTTCTTTATCTTCAGTCATTTTCCCTTTCTTGCAGTCAGGAACATCAAAACCTTCTTCAGACTCTAGGGGGAAGGAACTTTCTAATTTGCTCTTTACCGATTTGTCGCTCTTTTCATCTGGAAGCCAGTCCTCACGAAGGGCCCAGCATCTGTGGCAATGTCGTGGTAGTGGAGGATTCATTTTGCTACATTCGGGGCACTTCCAATAATCCTTTAGTGAATTAAAGGTTGGAACAACTTAAGCTACTTGGAATGCTTATAAATGAAGTATTCAGAGATTATAAACAATTTATTACTGCCAAAATAATAGTTTTCTTGAGCTACCAACTTCTATGCAATTTAAAAATTCCATTCAGCACTTGGTCCCATTTTATGGTTCTAAATTAAAATAGTCTGATTTTTAAAAGACTCTCTGACTCACTTTCTTCTTGCAGTAATTTGTGAAATAGAGGTGGAACAATAATGATTTAGTATTTCTTAGGCAAAATTGAAGAAAGCAGACCACAAAAGTATTCAGAGAACCCACAAAAAAACAACTTTCTGATCAAATGGTCACTGTTCCCGTTATTTTCAACAATAGACTGCTGAAATGTAAAGATTGAAGGGACATTTAACCTGTGGGATGCTAAGCTGCTGGTGTGCAAAACGGCCGAGTGAGGGCACTCTGACACAGTAGTATTAGAGAATAAAAAACAGCGGCCATTTAAAAAAAAAAAAAAAAAAAAAGGCAGCTGCATCACTGTTGGAGGTTACTCCATATGCTGCACTGAAAATACGCCACTCTCTCATTAAAAACACACTTCATTTTTAAGGAGAAAGACCCTTCTTAGAAATAATCCATGCCGTGGGGCAAATGAAAACAAAAAACAACCCAAAAGTTATTTAGAAGATTTGAAGCACTTTTTGGTTTGAGTCCTAAATAACATCAGTGACATCAAAAGCTTCAGAGACCATTTTTAATTCCTAAAAATAACGTACAGACACATTTTTCCATAAATAAGCAGTGTTATGTTTTTAGATAGTGACTAGCCCTGTGTTTTACACACACAGTAAAGTCCCTCAGTCCTACAGACCATCAAGGGACTGGAACACTTCAGACAGTTTACAACAACAGCTTTGTTCAAGCATCGACTGTGAAAAGCCAAGTATAAATAAAAAGATACACTGCTTTTTAATTCTAGTGCGTGCTTTCTTCACATGTCTACCTACTTTGCCTCAAACCCCTGAATTTCTTCCCACACTTCAAGAATGGTCTCAGAATTTGGAAAAAGCCTCAAAATCTATTAATTTCATAGTACTGTTCTGAAAACAGGTTTGCCTTCACATTGTTATGCTATAGATTCCTTCATTCAAGTTGGACAATAAAACTAGGTATTATGATTTATAGGAAAAGTTTGGGGTTTTTTTTGAATTTTGTGCAAAAAGTCAAGATTTAGGCTCCAAATAATTTCCTTCCATTAAGTCAGTGAAACTGTAAGTTAGTATTTTTTTTTTTCCTCAATGGATTAGGAAACTTTTTTTTTTTAACATATCAAGGTTCCTTAATAGTCACATATTCAGTAATTAAAATATTGTCTTAGAATCTTCAAGCATACAAGAAAAAGTAGATTTAATTAAAAAAAAAAATCATTGGTAACAATAGGATTTATCTATACCCCTTGATCTACTCTGTCAGGTCACAACTCTAAGATGCTTTGCCAGTCAAGTTTTTACTCACAGCTAGAGAAATCTCTGGATCTTCATCAAATGAATCAGCATCACTATCTTCATCCTGGTAAATAGTCAGCTGATACACCTGGTTCAAAAAAAAAAAAAGTATTGATGTAACTGGTTTTGCCATTCAATTAAAAATCTGACAGATGTTTAATCTGACAGATTTTCTGATAAGAGTTTTAATCAAATGTAAAATCAAATCAAATAAATAGCGCATACACGTTAATTTATGTTAGCAAGTAACGCCACAAAATCTGATGACTTGTCTGGGGGAAAATAATTCTGTTCACACTTGTAACACACAGTTTGAAGAAAAATGTAGACTAGACAGGTAGAAGGTACCACTTTCTAGAGTGGAGGTGATCCTTCCCCTCTGCTCAGCACTGGCGAGGCCACACCTGGAGCACTGTGCCCAGCTCTGGGCTCCCCAGTACACGAGAGATGCGGCGCTACTGGAGAGTCCAGTGAAAGGCCGCTAAGATGATTCAGGGATTGGAGGAGCTCTCACATGAGGAAAGGCTGGGAGAGCTGGGACCAGTCAGCCCGGAGATCTCAGCTCAGGGGGGATCTTAGCAATGTCTGTAAAGACCTGCAAGGAGGGCATCAAGCAGAGCCAGGCTCCTTTTTCAGCAGTGCCCAGTGACAGGACCAGAGGCAACTGGCACAAATTAAAACACAGGAGGTTCTGTCTGAACGTCAGGAGACGCTTTTTTACTGTGAGGGTGACCAAGCACTGGCACAGGTTGCCCTGAGCAGCTATGGAGCCTCCATCCTTGGAGATAGTCACAAGTGGTCTGGACATGGCCTGGGGCAATCGGCTCTGCTTGAGCCCAGGGGCTGGATAAAAGGACCTCCAGAGCCCCCTTCCAACCTCAACCATTCTGCAATTCTCAACACTGCTGCTGGGAGCAGGGGCACACCTCAATCCTTTCTTCCTCCAAATCTTGCCTCCTTGTGTCTTATGTCAGGGTGCAGCACCACAGCACCATAACCTGGTGTACATCAGTACAGTCAGCACCATTCAGCCCTTCAAGTACCACAACCATGTACATGTCCCAGGCAAATTCTGCCTCTGGTACTTAACCAATCTTGCCATGACCTGATTCACCTCTGCGAAGTAACAGAAAACTAACGCAGAAAAAAAATAATTTCCCACTTCATTCCTGCCATTCCAGATACCTAGATCTCTTGAAAATTATGGTAATCATAATTTTACTGTCTTCTTGCCTCCTTGTGAAAATTTCTAAAATTGTATTTCAGCATCTCTTTGAGACATTTATATTCATGGAGGCAAATGATTCCGAAATATCCCTTTGCAAAGAGGATATTTACTAGGAAAGTTGTCATTCAGTCTTAAAAGTATTGTCAAAGCTCAACACATACTTCTGTAATTAAAAATGTAGGAATAGACTCAAGTATACATGCTGCCATCAACTCCAACAGCTAGTGAATGAAGTTAAACAGACAGACTTTTCCAGACTGTCAAGAGTCTGTTTCAGAGCCTACAGAAAGCCTCAGCACCGTTCTGGTTACTGCCTGGTGGGTGTATAATGGCGACCCAACTGCACATGCATGTAGTTTGATTTAACGTCACTAACTGCACCCAGTCATTCATAGCACACGCAGTCCTGAAATAAACCTGAGAGTTACTTCTTCTTGTTGGAATCTCAACATGAAGTATTCCTGCAAGTTTCCTTCCCTCCCTCGCTCATTCCCCTGCCCCAAGTCAAAAAAAAACCCCAAACAAAACAAGTATGTACCTCATCATCTTCATCTGTGAGCTCCAGTCCTTCTTCATTATGGCTATAATCTTCTGAATAAATAGACTCGACTTCAAACTCTACACTGAACTGGTCTGAAACAGAACTGTGGTCAAACCAATCAGAGTTTTCACTTAATGAACTGGCATCAAGATCCTGAAAAAGGAGAGAGAAAGTACACATTCAGCCTCACTAGTCCATATCCACAACCATTACTGTTAAGATAGCTTGCAAGATAAAATCACTCAGTGTAATTAGCTATGGGAGAAATAAGACCAACTGCTGTTAGACAGAACATCTTTTATGAGACAAATGAATCATAGGTAGGTAAAAATAATGCCAGATCTGAAAGCCTTTCGTCAGCTCTGTAATAGAGGCTGCAGTCAACCTACAGCCAGCTTGAAGATTGCTGCTACTCTATCACAAAGGCTCTCCTAACAAGTGAAAGAACAGATACAGGAAGATGCTGTCTTTTGGCTGCATGTCATTAAATTCTCTATTCTCATCAACTTTGTTAACCTTAATTTGAGACAGCAGCTAAACAATTATAAAATAGCAAGAGTGAAGATACAGTATTAGTTCTGTCAATTCCAAATACAGTACATGACTAAGAATACTGTTAGTTTAGCTCTTTGTGACTTAACCTAACCACAGATAATTTGCCTCAAGTGTTTCCTGAAAACAACAGAAAACAGTAAAGGCTTGGAAAATGAATACAGCGTATCATCATGGCACTACTATGTACAGTGACCAAAGCTGTACTGAACTACCTTCTCTTAGCGTTCTAAGAAACACTTACTTTAAAACCCAAGATATACATCACATTTTTTTCAATACTGCGCCAAGCAGTAAGAATCTGGTTTTTGAAGAATATTCAGAGTTAATCTTTTAAAAAGTTTCACTTCAGCTTTGTCAGCAGACCTATGAAAGACCCTGCCCCACCCACACACCAACTTTTCTTTCAGCCTCTTTTCTCCCCTCAGACCCCACTGAGGGCACTGCTGCTTTTAATTAAGAACATGATGTTTTAAGATGCGTATTTGTACCTGTGGTATCTGCAAAATTTGTACCACAGAAATATATATTTTTGACTTACAGGAATGGAAAGAGAATCTGTTGAATCACTGCTATTGCTTCTTTCACGGCACAGACCACTGACTACACACCATGAGAGACTTTCATCAAACGTCAACGAAATGCTGTCTGACTTGTGTCGTTTTCTTCTGTCACTATGCAGATCATCTGAAGAATTTTCTTCTGGGCACATTCAAGAATTTGTATTACTCCAAAAACATCTATGCAATGTGCAGTTTTGAATATTCTTAACAGAAGCTTAAAATACAATTTACTTATATAGGAATTTGAGAAAAATAAAGTAATTCAGTGTTATTTTATGGGGGAAAAAAAAGTAAAGGCACCAAAAACTTTTTAAAATAAGACACAGTAACCTTGAGAAACGTGAAAAGTGTGAAACATTCCCGAAACCAGTATTTCAGGGGCTGGCTTTCCCCACCTGTCCCATCAGTACAGCTTGTAAATGTCAGTCTCCACATGCAGGAAATAAAATAATTGCAAATCTGGAAGCATTTTTACTCCACTTCACACGATACATTAAACCCCTTCTAATTTTACGGAATACGGTTAGGATCTTAATTGTCCTGGCTCCCTCTACAGTCAGTAGACAGAAAGGCACTTTCAGAGGGCTTCTGAGTCCATCCCAGAATTTGCAGGGAGACAGAGCAACTAGCTCCCACATCACATGCATACAAGACCTCATGCTAGGCAAGATAAGTTTGGGTACAAGTTTCAGATACCTCAACAAATTTATCAGTTACTAGTTGCACTATATGTAATGGTATTTGCTCAACAGGATTTTTGTAACAAACCATTATGACTTTCACCACACACTAGCAAGAAAATCTTCAAGGCATACTATGTAAAAATTGAACTCTGAAAGCACTGCTTTAAGCTGTGCTTATTAAAACATGCTTGGTTTGAAGGCACAAAGACAATGCTTTTTAAATATGTCACATTTTGAAACAACCACCTACAACAGCGTAAGGAGTAGGGGGACAGCATTTTAGGGCTGGGTAAGTCAAAATTCAGCTCCGCTGACTTTTAGAATCTTTGATAAGAAACAATTTCATTAAAAAGGCGTTGCAAAGTCAGTATGTAAGTGCAGCGGAGTGAAAACTCCCCAAGAGGCCTGACAAGTTGGTTCAACAGACCTCAGTACGAGCCTGCTGCCCCCCTACAGGTGCCTTTTGCACCCACCCTCTATTGCCCAGCTTCTCCCTTGCCTTGCAAAACACACCCTGACAATCCATGAGTCTTCAAGTCTTGAATCTTTCATTGTAAAGGAAAAAGAGAACAAAACACTTGTACATACTTTGAGACTTCTCTTACTTTCCCTTGGTGCTTCTTGGCTCAGCCCCTCTCTTTTCTTTTTTCCGCCCTGAGAGCCCCACCAAATTTGGTGCCCGCAGGCCCAAGGGTTGCTCCTCTCCATCGTTGTCCTCATTTAGTTGTCATGGCTCCATGCTGTACTGATACTGTATCACCACAAGGTTTCTATACACTATATAAGCGGCTCCAAAGGAGCCGCTACCATCCCAATTTAATAAGAATAGTGGTTTAAAAGGAAGATTTCCTATAAATTAGAAAAAAAGTGTATATAAAAACACTATATTAAAAGAACTTTTAAGGTTGTAACAAACTAATAAATGGATGCAAAGACAAGAGTTAATAATCAAACCTACAATAAGTAAGCACAACACAGGACCTTATGTGCTCTGGGTCATGCCTAAATATTACAGGTTGTGATGTTTAACCGAGACTTTCCATCCTTTCATCAGTTTTTGTTACAACATTAAAAAGTTCTTTTAATTTAGTGCAAACCGCTCAGCAACGCAGCACAGTTTTTGGACTGACTAACATAACAGTAGCCTATGATGAACACAAATACTACACAAAAGCTGAGGAACTGAAAAAAAAAAAGTTTCCGAGCAACTGAAGAAAAGGAAGTTCTATGCAGTGACAGAAGGTCATCACTGGCCAGGTAATTACAACTGTCAAGTCATAAGGCAACAGAAGTAAGTGATGGAACAAACTAATGTAAGAAATTCCACAGAATAGTAATGAAGTAGAACTGCAGAGAACACTTCCATTGAGAAATTTAAAGTTATTCAGGTTTATGCTGACCAGCTTGTTATTTGCTAATTATCGGAAGAAACATTCCACATTTTGAAAATGTATTTGCCAGTGATTATTGAATAACCACAGTAAAGAGAAAGAGGAGACAAATACAATGCTTAAGTCACCAGACTTTTTAAAAGAAGTGTTTAAGGAATGGTCAGGTACCTAAATATATCCAACATCATCCCATGTTACTACCAGACCTTTGACATCTTTGCCACCAGTTGAAATCCAATGAAAACTGCTTTTAGAGAGCAAACAAACTGTAAAATTTTGTGGCTGTCTACAGAGGGAACTGAAATGAATTGACTGCATGAGTCTATTACAAACACAAGTGTTCTCATCATGAAGACAACACAACTGATTAAGTCCTGCTGATGTGGACAAGGTTAATAGATCTGTGGAACAAGTTATTCCATCATCTTACTGACAGTTCTAGAGATCTAAACTGTAACATGATACTGGAGGAATGCAAGGAATTGTGTGTTTCTTCCAGACTGAACATTTTGTTTCAGATAAGCAGAGAAACATTAACAGTATTTCACAGCATCTTTCAAAGTCAGTAAGGCAACAGAATGTACTTTTTTCCTAAGTGGCCATGCTACTGAAAGCTCTGCATCATAAATCTGCACATACCAGATTCACTGTGTGTTCTCCTCCTAGAAGATGTAGTTGGTCGGGAAGTCATGTTTGATGAAGTCTGCTTCTCTTCTAACTCTTGCATAGATTCCTGCTTAACAGAAATACTGAGTAAGCCTGACCATGAATATGAGGTAAAGGGCTAAATTCAACTAATTGACGAATCATGGAAAACTAAACAGAATTTATATCTCAGAACATTTATTTTTAAAAAATAAAATAAAAAAAAATTAAAAAAATCACCTTTAGAACATTTTCTTCTTCAAGCTGAAATCTGGCATCATCCTCAGGTGTGTCAGTAAGCGTAGAGTCTGAAACCAAACCAAATCACACCACCGTAACACAGCACAGCAGAAAAAGTAAATTTCAGGCTCAAAAACTGATTTAGAGTAAAAGCAAGGGAGAGATGTTAAATGCACGCAGCATTTACAAAGTAAATTCTAAACAGAACTTAAAATCCAGACATTTTGCATCAATGGAAAAAACAACCCCATTCCTTTACTTTTCAGGTGCATGCAGCCCTTAAACCTGCAATATTACTGAAGCGGGAGAATGGGGAGGAAGAAGAAATCTCAGCTGCAAAGTAGCTCAGAATTTTATCCTAAATGCCTTCAAATGAAGGCTGTCCATTAGCTGGGATTCTGCAGGTATGAAACAATATAGGCAGGAAGTATTTTACACTTCTTCCTCTCCAAAGTATATTTTACTAGCTATCATCTTATGGGAACACTGAATTAAAAAAACATTAAATAGAAGAAAAATTAATGGGTTTTAATTATATATGCTTCAGACAGACCCTGAATTAATAAATTCTCTTTCAAGAAAAGAATTTGAGACATAGTTTAAGTTTGCAAGCATAACAATACAGGATAAAGAAGTTTCCCATCTTCAGCAGCTTAACACTTGCCTTGGGGAAGAAGCAGAAACAAAGGGTGTCTTAATTTACAAAATGGCTTGCATTGTTTAACTTCTGGTTCACTCCTTGTATTAGCCAAAAATTACAGCTATATTGAGCTTTTTTATACTGCAGGGAAGATGACTGTATGTAACAATTCTCCATTTCTGGAGTGGCTGTCCACAAAGTTACCACAAAGCTACTTTAAGTACCTTTTAAAAGAGGACTCAGTATAGCTGATGGTGACCAGTTCTAAATGTACTCCACATTCAGTTTTGAAAATTAGAACACTAACAGAAAGAATATTTCAGCATTTGCCCTGACTTCATTGCTGGCACAAGTTCAAGAAGCTAACTTTTGATATTAAAACTTCTTATGTTGTTGAGGGCTTTATCTGTAAGAAATACAAGCAAACGACTAATTTTTCAATTTATTCCTCTTTGTGTTCAGCTCTGATTGTGCTTGCTTGGCTCTAGTCAGACCAAATTACCCACATGACGTTCAGATTTTTTTTTTCCCCCCCTCCCCCAGAAGCAGCAGTGGTTGCTTTGATTCACTACTGTGATCACTCTGGACAGTAGTGTGTAAAGCCAAATAGCTGATTATGGAGAGATCAATGTTATCTGATCACTACATGCAAGATACATCAATGCAAATTATGTTTTCCCTACTACTACTTCCCAAAACAAAAGGTCCTCCCAAACTAGCTTACCTTGTTGATTGATTGCTATCAGATTTCTGGAAATCATTGAATATAGTCTCCTTAGATGGGGATAAAGAAAGAGATGTTACAAGTTAGCTACATGTAATTATAAAAGAGAGCTTACCATCTTTGAAGATGCAAAGAGTTAAAAAAGGCCATACGCATTATGTTCTCCATTATTTCACAACCAGACTCTCAGAAAAGAATCCCATTTTACCTGTGTTCTTTTACTGAAAAGCTTGTTACTCCAAATAAATCCCCCAGGAGATCATTTGCACAGTGTACAATATGTTGCTGTTTTTCATCATATAATTGTTTAGACATAATATATTGTCCAAGATAGAATATTACCTGTAAAATAAATGACATACACAGACATCACATACCCAGATTCTGTTGTTAAGTGTAAGAGAAAACACATTAAATTCATCGAGATTTGCTCTTCTGACTTTGCCTAAAACTCCCTTTGAGCTGCGATTTTTTCATCTACCATTCCCCAAGTACTCTGCTATTCTACTGACCACCAGATACTTTTGTTCAGTTTGAGAAACTTGCTAACCACCACCTAAGGAGTCAGCAAGAGACTAAAAATACCTTGTCTCAGTATCTTCTAGATCAGTTGTGAACTACTGCCCACCCCTTCACCCAAAACAAAAGAACAATCTATCTGTATTCACCGTAATCTACCTTTAGTGATTAGAAGTTCTCACCTCCTTCATAGTAAAAGTGTCCTTTTCTGCACCAGCTAACTTTAGCAACTTCAACAATAGTGGCTTTGGTCTAACCTGCATGGGAAGAAAAACAGTATGCACCAATTATTCACCAAACAAAACACTGTTTATACAGGCTGGCTTCCTCCTTCCTTGTATATTGGTCTGATACACAAACACACAGCTACATTAAAACCTATTCACATCCAAGTTTTTTTACTTTGTAAAGTTAAAGTAACACAAACCTAATCATACTAAACTTTTCATACACTATGTCTTAGCTCAAACCCCAACCTTTCATTGGTACATACACATTCCTCAATTTGAGCTACAGGATTCATTTGGTGGTTCCAAGCACAGGGCTGGGTCCTGGGGAATTCAGCTTCACTCCTTCAGTCATTACGGCAACTCCCAAAGGGGAAGGAGGAAGGCAAACAGACCTTTATGACTATCTGTCAGGTCCAGAGTGCAACTCACAAAGCAAAGCACTGGTCCACCTCTTTCCTCGACTCCTCCTGTGACAGTTTCTAGGGCTGCGGTTTTGCATTTGCCAGCTGGGCTGCTTTACCTCTGAAGACTTCTCTTAGCTGGGATAAGCATACCCCATCCTTTCTGTTGTATTTCAATCACTCCTACCTCCACAGTGGCCTACCACCCACCCACTGTGCCAGCAGAGTTGTATCTGCAGCCAGTCTATGACAATTTCGGGGGGGGGGGAATCGCTTTCCCTCTTCCCCCCCCACCTTTTCCCTTCTGGCCAGACCAGTGTCCTGATCCCATTCACTGCACTGTTCCACAAACAGCTGTGCCAGTGCCAGTACCAGTGCAGGAGATGAGAACAAGCTGCAGGGGCTGCCACAACTGCAGAGAAAATGCCTGTGGAGCCACTGATGGTTCCCAGCGCAGTATGTTCTAGTATTGCCGCTTTAACAATAGCATAACCGTTCTAAGAACTGGCTAGTATTTAGCTATCCTAATACAGTCCCTAAAATAGAAAAAATATTATAGAAGAGAAACATTTTACAGGAAGACATGAATAAAGTATCATGCGACAATGAATAAATGCTTAAGGGAAGGGAGGGGAACTTCCCTACATTCCATTCCACGTAGCTGCTAAAACCAACGTTAAGTTTTAGTGCATTAACAAGAGATTAGTTGCAAGAACCACACATAATGAAAACAATAAACAAGCTTGTGGACGTTAGATGTCTATTCACCCCTTCCTAAGTGCTGAATTATTTAGAGCACGCAGCATGTATTACAGTTTCATAAAGGAAGCAAACAGTAACTTACTAAACTACTAATGACAGCTCAGCGTAGGAAGGCAAAGCAGTTTCAGAACTATAAATCCACAGCTAGACCCATGGGTTCAGATCCTTTTACTCCCTAGCCCTCTCTTTCTGACTCCTGCAAGTTCTTCTGCCATGCAGATCTGACAGCAGATGGTAGCAACACATTATGACTCCAGAAGAAATAAATGAAAAAAAAAAAAAAAATCAACTTTCAACAGCCTGCTGTTCTGTTACTTCACTTTTTTGAAGTTCTGCTATCAGCCTACACTTTTAAGTTTTACTGTTCTACAAAAAGTAATCCAGTTCAACCGTCATGGTGCACATGCCATTTATTAACTCACATCCTGGGTATAACACATAGGCTTCCATCCCCAGGAAAACTTATGTGGACAGCATAACTGTCACTCTGTCATGGAAAGCCTGGATATGCAAAGCCATAAACACAAACGATGACTATTATTACAACTTGCTTAAGAATTCCAATAGAGAAGAAAGTGAAAATGCCAAATTCAAAAGCCTTCAGTTGTAATGACAAGATTATTTCACAAACAGCATCCGTTCTGCAGAACGGAGATCTTCCACAACTCTTCAGTTATGAGCCGTTAAATATTTCCACCACGAAATACTTAGCATGATCAAATGGGACCGTAAAATCCTTTTTACCAAAAGAAAGCAACCTGACCATCAAAGGTCTCCAGGAAAAAGAGTCTAGACCTAAACCATCACCCTCAACCACAAATGAGAAAGATGTGCTCCACAGCTACAGGATCAAAGAGAGCCCATCTTCACCGGATTTCCTGGCTTTTCTCTAACCATCGCTCGCTGAGCAAAGCGGTCCTTCTGCACTAGCAGATAAAAACTCTGTCAAAAGCATGAAAAACTCGCGCGTCCAACGGAGCTACTGACCAGCGCCTCTTGCTCCGAAGCGGTGACAGAAGAGGCATCCGTGAGGGAGGACATCTTGGTATTGCACATTTGCCTGTAGTCAAGGAGAGAACAACCTCAAAACGCGGAACACAGCTGCACAACCGGGGCTTCCCCCTCCCCGCAGAGACACCCCGGGGCGGGCGCGGGCTGCAGCCACCCCCCCGGCGGTTGCCCACTCACCTCGGTGCCCTCGTCCAGCCCACACGCCGGACTCCGGCAGCGGGTATC